TCCCCAGCCCTGCAAAGAGTAAAGAAGAAAGGAGAAATAGGGAGGAGGACACGAGGGAGAGGAACAGAGAGAGAGGATTGGGGAGATGGAGAAGAATAAATAGAGAATGGGGAATAACATGTAATTAGAGGTAGCAGGAGAGTGTTATAGAGAGAGAGGGAATGAAAGAGAGTGGATGGTCAAAGAGGAAGAGGGAGACAAGGAATTAAGTTGAGGGGAACAGAAGAAGAAGTGGGGAGATGGTAAAGGGGAAGAGGAAGGAAGAGAGAAGGCAGAGGTTGAAAGAAAGGAGGACACAAGGGATTGGAGAGAGAGGGAACAGAGATATAGGTGGGGAGATCGTGCACAGAAGAGGAAAGGAGAGAGGAGGAAGAAGTACAGCAGGAGGAGGACACAAGGAATTAGCTAGGGGGTACGGAGAGGGGGTTGAGGATTTGGTGAAGGGAAAGAGGAAAGGAGGGAGGATGAAGAAGTAGAAAGGAAGGAGGACACAAGCAATTTGAGAGACGGGAACAAATAGAAGATTGAGTGAAATGTTGCGAGGAAGAAAAGAGAGAGGAAGAAGAGGTAGCGTGGGAAGAGGATGCAAGGAATGAGAGGGGGAAAAGAGAGGGCAATGGTGAGATAGTAAAGGGGAAAGAAGAAGGGAGAAGAGCAGAAGAGGTGGAGAGGAAGAAGAACATAAGGAATCAGAGAGAGGAGAGGGAAGATATTGTGGGTAAGAGGAAAGGCGAGAGAAAGAAGAGGTAGAAAGAAAGGAGAGAAGAGAAAAGAGATGGAAACAAAGGGATGAAAGGGGGAAATAGACAGAATAGAACCACTGTGAAGAGGGGATGACAATTAGGTGTCACTGAAAATCGTAGGAATTTCCCGTTGTTCAACTGTATGTATAGCCGAAACTTCTATGTTTTGGATAGAATAGAAGGGGGTTGTGATTGATGTCCCCATTAAGTAGTTTCACCTTTTCCAGTTGTTATAGTCACTGCTGCTACTGAGACAAAATGATGGAAAGTCAAAATGATAACACTGCCACCAGAACAAGAGATGTCTATAAGGGGGAACTGACCTCACTTCGCAAAGATTTCTTCCCATACCCTGTTGCGTCGCCATGTGCCCAAAAAAATCCAAGCCATTACCTCCATGGACCTTTATGACTAAGGCAGCCCAAGCACCAAAAACTAAAGAAAACACAGTGAATTATCCTGTGAGTGCTGTCATGTATACTTAGGTCCACAGTGTTGAAGGAGAACTTCAATTTCCATCCCAATCTCTTTGTATAGTAAATCCCTTGTATGCAGATCAACATGGGAAAAGGCCAATTGTAAAGTTATAGGTAGAAGATGATCAACGTGAAGAACTGAGGAACAGGAAAGAAAGTTAACTTATATATTTAGAAGAATGGACAATAATATATATATATATACAGTATATAGGCATTTAACATAGATGTGTCATAAATATGAAGGTTTCACTGTGTTTTTTCAGCCTGATGGCATTTTCATCAATAAATGTGAAACACAAGACTGAACTGCTGTCAATTGCGGAGTATTTCCCGGAGGGGCCATATCATATGTCATGTGTCAATAGCGTCGCGTGGAAATTTTCCACATTATATTGTGTCATTTTTCGTACATTTCCTCAGGCGAAGAGAAATGCTGCTGAGCAATGCAATGTAAGACGAAGGCTAATTCCATTTCCTGCATGCTATAGAGCACTGCGGACAATAGGATCCTATGTTATTATATATTCATATAATATACATGTAATTTACTAACTTTCCTACCCTATGTCATACTATAGAGATGAATGGATAACCAGTCATCAGTCATCATTCATAATGCCCTGGTTCTCTACTCTTGCATTGCTGTAATGGTGTTGCCTTATATCTCAAGGATTATGAGATCGGTTAAACATAATCCAAAGTTGGGGCTTTGAGGGCTCATTCACACCTTTCCAGTGCGGCACATCGCAGTATTGCGCAAGTTACTCGCGCGTAAAAAGCATGTTATGCCCATTAGCACCCTGTGGTGCATTTAATTTTTCATTCATTTTGAATGGCATCCCAACGCACCAATAAGGCCTTTTCCACACAGGCGCAGTTTAAACAGCAGCCCACTGAAAAGCGGTCCGTGGTGGATCTGCTTTTAGAGGGTGGCATAGCAGTGGGCTTCCAGGCATTCAGGACAGGGGCGGACTGACCATTTGGAAACTTGGGCACTGCCCGAGGGCCTGGGGTCAGTAGGGGGCCCCATGAGATGCCCCTGGGTACCTTTTTCATAGGCTTTTTTGAGTTTGGGCAAGGACACAGGGGCCCCATGATCCCCTATTGCCCGGGGGCTCCATGAGTTGTCAGTCCGCCCCTGGTTCAGGAGGTGCTCCTGCCGAGGAGGTGATCCTGAATGCATGTTTTTTTTTTATTTTTTGTACTGAGTTTTTTTCCTGCTAGGTGAACAGAAATGTTGTATTGAAGCTGTGCTTGTTTGGCTCACTGTTGTGCTGCGACTCCATTGACTTCAATGAGCATATTTGGGAGGCTGCTACCACCTGTCAAATTCAGCATGCTTGCATCGGGCATCAGTAAAATCCCTCCAGCTTCCACGTTCTCTTGTCTGTAGGTGGTAAATGCAGATCAACCACCTGTTTATACCACCCCCTGACTGTTCTTGTGAAAGAGTTCAAAGGAAAAGCAGCCCCAACAGACATAGATGAACTTCACTTTCTCAATCAACATGGACTGTTTTGAATCCTTATGCGGCTAGCATTAATAAATATTGTTTATAGGAATGTATAGCATATTTACAAGTTTTAAAACATTTTTTCTACATTTCTTCAGTTACTTCCTGGTTTCCATGGCTAGGCAAATTATGTCATACATCCCAGGAGTCTTCAGGAGGGAGGAGGGGATTTCTCAGCTAAGCACACCCTCTACATTATATGCCTGAGCTAAGGGCAGATGGACTCCAGGAACAAAATGCTTTATGAATCATCTGACCTTACTCAAGATGGCCACGGCCAGACATGCTAGGGGGTATTTTTCTAAGCGGTTTCTCACTAAAAGCATGTAGAAATGGATGGATGGGGGAGTTTGCTCTGAATATTACAAATTAATCCTCCAAGCTCGTCTCCTGAACTTCTCCAGAGACTCCCCCATTCTCTGGAACTCTCTTCCCCAATCTATCCAACTATTGCTTACTCTGCCTACTTTTAGGTGATCTCTGAAAACCTATCTCTTCAGGGAAGCCTATCCTGCCTTCACCTAATAACCAAATTTTCTATTTCTCCTATCAGTTCATCCCCCACATTTATTACCTTTTGTACCACCAGCCAGGGCTGTGGATAAGGGGGTACCACCAGTCCTCCTGTATGGGGCTCAGGCCAGCAGGGGGGCTCAGGCAGCTGGGTGAATCAGTGAATCAAGGCAATTACTGGAATTGATGAATATCTCTCTCTGCAGCAGCTGAAAGCTTCTTCTCTCCCTCCCACTGGATTTCAGCTGCTGCAGAGAGAGAGAAATACAGGGGATCGGTTGCCCCCCTCCCTTCCTGTGCACCATACATTGCCCCCACAGTGCTGCCGCCTTCTCTCCTTTCCTTCCTACAGGTAGCTGCAAGCACACAATAGGATCCTTCAAGGAAAGGGTCCAGTAAATATGTTACATTTACCAGGCCCTTCCTTTCCTGAATGAACACAATAAGTGATTGCTACCAATCACTCACTGTGTTCATTCATAAACCAAAGCCTGGTAAACTGTTTTTCATTTGGGGAGGCCCTGTCAGGTTGCTGTATGGGGCCCTGAGGTTTCTAACAGCTTCCCTGCCACCAGCTCCTCCCTCTTAGATTGTAAGCACCAAAGAGCAGGGCCCTCCTAACCCTTGTGTCTTGATGTCTTGAACTGTTTGTTGCTGTATTGTCTCCCTTTATATTGTAAAGCACTGAGCAAACTGTTGGTGCTATATAAATCTTGTAGAATAATAATAAATAATGCTTTTGGTTTGTGGTGCTCAGATACCGTGTAGATTTGTTTTAACAAGCAATTAAATAAATGGGCGGACAACGCATCAAAGTGTTCGAAGAATAAACAGGCATGCACCATTTTTGGCAACACTTTGGTGTGCTGTATGTGTTGGATGCACTGGGGGAGATTTACTAAATTTGTTGCGCTTAGAATCTGGTGCAGCTGTGCATGGTAACCAATCATCTTCTAACTTCAGCTTGTTCAATTAAGCTTTGACAATAAAACCTGGAAGCTGATTGGTTTCTGTGCAGAGTGGCATCAGATTTTGCACTCTCCAGCTTTAGTAAATAACCCCAAGTGTGTTGCTAAAAATGGTGCACGTCCATTTTTTTTTTTTTACGCTTAGGCACATTGTCAGACCAATTATTTAAATGCATGTTAACATGTGAAAAAACACACATGCATTTCCGCAGCACACCACGGTGCCACAGTCGAAATGAGCCCCAAAGGAAGAATAAAAGTAAAGAAAAAATGCTGTGCTACATCAAAAAAATACTCAATACCTGTAAATCAAAAAATTTGAAAAATAAAAAAAATAAATAAAAAAACCAGAAATCACCCAAATCAAAACAAAGAATAATAATATTGAATTCACCAAAAAAGTCATTATAAACTCAAGTCCAATCAAAACAGTGTTCTTCTGTAAACCCTCCTGTGGATAACGAAAATATGTGCAGCTGTCACCAATTCCAGTGAGAAAACATCCTCCACCATATATCTGCTGACCTCATGCAGTGTGACGTCACATTGTACAATGTTACGTTCTAACTGCACTTTTGGTCCCCAATGGACTCAGTAGATCAGCTTGTTAAAATGGGGTCTCCAAAGTATGCTTGCTCCTTAAAAAACGTCTTGGTGTCATCGAATTCCTCATTAAAAAGAACTCAACATAGTGCTTTATCCTTTTAAACTTTTATTAACCACTTCCCATCCGGCCGCTGTATATAAACAGCCGGACAGTGGCAGTGCAGGGACGGGTTGAGGTTCATAAATGGCACCCACCATTTTGGATTGTGGATTGTGCGCACTCCCTGGGAGCACACAGCACCACGATACGGAGCACGCACAATCCAAAATGGTGAGTGCCATTTATGAACCTCAACCCGTCCCTGCACTGCCACTGTCCGGCTGTTTATATACACCGATCGCTGTACGGGACCTCTGTGTAAAGTCCCGATCATGTGATCACTGATTGCCCAATCAGTGATCACATGAATAGGTGTAAGCAAGATATCACTTCTGACATCATTGCTTACTACGTATGAAATCTGTGAATGATCACAGAGGGTCACATGGTACAAGGCTATTCACAACAGCCTTGTACCATGTGACAAGCTGTGACCAATCACAGCTCACACAGTATTTCTCAATGGCTGAAAAAAAATGCAGCAAGAGAGAAGGAGAAATGATGCTTTTACAGCCTTTATGCGTGTAAAAGCAATCAGTGTAAAAAAAAAAAAAAAAACAAAAACCTTCATCACCCCACAGGTTAGTACAGTGTTACTATGGTGACACTGTACTACTAGGGTGACAGTATGTTAAAAAAACCCACAAAAAAAACAAAACCATAAATAATAATATAAAAAAAAAAATAAAAATGTAAAAACATTTTTTTTGAAAAATTATCATTTTTTGGTTATAAACTAATTTGGGTTATTTTTTTTTTTACTAAAAATATAAACTGAATACATTTTGGCCAAGATTTATAAATAAAGATTATTTATTTGCAAAATTGTATAAGAAAAACACTTTTTTTTTTCTAAATTTTTGGACTTTCTTTTATATAGCCAAAAAAAATAAAAATCCCAGTGGTGAATAAATACACCCAAAATAAAGTTTTATCTGTCTCAAAAAAATGCTAAAAAATTCATATGGGTACAGTGTTGCATGACCGCACAATTGTCATTGAAAGTGTGACAGCACTGAAAGCTGGAAAATTGGCCTGGACAGGAAGGGGGTAAAAGTGTTCGGACACATGGAGTGGTTAAGCAATAAAACATAGGAAATGCACTCACGTTCTGGAGGTACATATATCTGCACCACCTATGATGAACATCCGCAATATATCGATTAAACACAAGATGGCAGTATCATCTTAACAGCAGAGTCCTGTATGAGCTCGGAAAACCGTCACCATAGGGAATGAAATGCAAGGCAAAAGCACGGGCCCTTCTCTGTAAATGCAATTACCTGCTAAACTGCCGTTCCTGGAGCGGTTTCACAACAACCTGTCCCGATGAATGGAAATGTTGTGACATCATCCGTACACTCCTCCCCCAGGGGAGTACAGGGGAGGAGCATACGGATGATGTCACAATGTTTCCATTCATCAGGACAGCGGTTGTAGTATTTGTGAAACCGCTCCAGGAACGGCAGTTTAGCAGGCAATTGCATTTACAGAGAAGGAGCCCACTGCGCATGCACGAGTAGCGCTGTGCTTTGTGAATGGTTCCGTAGTCTTCTGGGACCTGGCACGTGTCTCCGGAAGACTATGTAAAAGGGGGGGGGGGGCGGGGGGGACAACTATCCACTTTCGATTGCCTAGGCCAGTGATTCTCCAAACTGCAGCCTGGGGCCAGATGCGGCCCTTTTTCTTGCATCTCTCTGGCCCTTGGGACACTATTGTTCCACCTGACACCAATTATTATAAGGCACCATTCCTCCCACTTTCACCCATTAATGGACACTTCTTTCCCACTGACACCATCGATGGGCCCTTTTCCTTCCTGCTAAAGACCAATGATGGAGGCCAATTGCCTTCTCCACCTAGACTCCATCGATGGGCAGCCTATGCCCCGAACTGCGTATACCAACCATGTTCCTCCTGCTAAACGGTCAGACTGCAGGGCACTATATCTCCTGTTTAAAACCAATGGCTGATCAGGTGTTTACTCCATGCCACTGTATACTGGAACATTTTTCTACTCACTCTTGGCCACTAGTTCAGTCCTTCCCTAAGCCTTAAGGGACAGTCAACTGGCCCCTGTGTTTTAAAACGTTTTGGAGATTTTCTGGTCTAGCAATTGGCAGCAAAAGTGGGAGTGGGTAACCTGGCAAATCGGTGTACCCACTGCCCAAAGGTGCAACATGCGGTACCTTTAACATGTGAGTGGGGTACCAGTCCTTAATGCGGTTACTTGGCCGGGGGCAAGAGAGAATGGTTGAGTGCTCCAGCTATAATATTACATTCGGGACCCCGTAGTCAGAGCGCAAAGGCAGTGCGTTTCCAGCGACGTGCAGAAAGCTGGCATGTGAAAATGCCATTCTGATGTGATACCAACCCCTCCACCATGAAGAGTCCAACGCTTCGTACATATCAGTATCATGATGGCAATGGGCCCTTTCTTCTGTGCACATTTTCCATCCTCCAGTAAATCTCCCATTTTCTTGTGGTGATCTGGCTCACGAGCTTATTGCACTCCACATTCAAGTCACATTTCCTCCCACATTCCCCTTGTATTCGTAGTTTTCCCTTTCAGGAGAGAGACCCGCCAGGTTTCAAGACTGCAGACACAGCAGCTTTTCTCCATTACAACAACGAGATTAGCTACTCAATTGGTGGTAATGAAGGAAGATGCTTCCTCTGACCATTTTGGAACAATCTGGGTAAAACAAACTAAGAACAGGTAGAGAATCTCCGAAAATGTTTTCTAAAATCTTTATAAAAATTGTTTATACCTAGAGAAAATTCTTTTCTTTTCATCTGCAAAAAAAAAAAGAAAATAAAGGAGCTGCAACTGTAAGAGTAGATACAGTAAAATGGTAGTGATGTAATGTCAGCATTCTGGAATTGGGAAGAGCCTCCTCTGCAGGATGTGAGTACTGTACTCCTAGTAACTTAGGGACTGGAAAACACGTCTATGCGCCCGGTGTCTCGGTTTGCCTAGCAACTCATCTTTTCTATCTTTTTTTTCTGTTGTTGTTATCTCGACCAGGCCCTGGCGAAACTCGGTTAAAAACAACAATCATCCACAATACATGAGCTGTCCATCCGTTGTGTTTCTCTCTGGAAAGTTTTTGTTAACAAACAATTGCAGGTCCCAGCCATTAAAATAGAACTCTAGGTAAAATACACCACAACATTATATGACGGTGGTGACACTCCCGCGTAACCCCTTTTACTGGCAAAGCAGTTTTTTTTTGTGTTTTTTTGCACCACGTTTAACCACTTCAATACTTGAGCACTTTTACTCCCTCTCCTGGTCCACCAGGCGCCAAGTTTTAGGCTTTCCAGCTCTCTTCCGACAGTTTTTGGAATGACAACTGCGCGGTCCATGTGCAACACACTCTAGCCAATCCAAATTATATTTTATCATTTTGTTCACGACAATTAGAAGCTTTGTTTTGAGTGGGATGGTAATCACCACTTGGGTTTTTTTATTTTTTTTTGGTATATAAACGAAAAAGAAGACCGAAAATTTGAAAAAAAAAACCCACAGGTCTGTTGTTTCTTCTGTCTGTTATTAAAGTATTGCAAATAATATACTTAGTTCTCCATAAATTTAAGGGAGCCAAAAATGTATATAGTGCTACAACATTAATATGTGGTGAAATATAACCCCAAATTAGTGTTATAGTCTTTATAGAGGTATGCACAAACTATGGTATAACTATCGAAAAAAAATCGATGAATCCCTGATGTACTGACGGCCTATCCCCCCCAAATTTATCCCGTTTTGAAAAGTAGACAGTCTGGCAGTATTTCCGTAACAGGGGGGCCCGATGGCAAGCCTTTTTTGACATTGGTCATTTTTTTTGTCAAAATGTTTGTGGAAAATGAAAAAGAAAATGTCCACCTTTTTTTGTTTTTTTATTTACATACTGTCACCAGTGCAGTTTCAGTGGTCCATTCATATAAACTGTGTGGTGGTGATCAGGTACAATTAATAATATCATATTTTTTTTTCAATTTATTTTGTTATGTACATTATCTATTCTTTAAACGATTTTTAAAAAATCAAAACACTGGTGGCCAGAGGAATATAATGTTACCAATAAGTAATACGTTTGTACTTCACTGGGGAAGTGATCTGTAATTTTTTTTATATTTCTTACACATTATGAGAATTGCATAGAGTCAATGAATTTCACTGCTTACATGCAAACCATTTAAACTGAATGGACTTGATTTCAATCAGTTAGTTTTTTGATGTGTGTTTAACTGTTGGCCGCAGTCTGTAACCATGTGACTACTGTGACCATCACAGTAACGCAGCAACAACTGTTATACAATGGATGGCATGAAATGGAAGTCATCCATTGTTTACAAATTTATAATTAGTCCATGTGAGCCTGCTCAGTGAATTGGTCACAGGGGGTCATCAGTGACAGATCTCACTCGCCGACATCAGATGACGTCCACCCTGATCGATGAAAGTCCCACCTGGCCATTATTTTGTTTTTGGCCGGGTGGGAACTGGTTAAAAAAAAAAAAAATTTAGGCCTGAAGACTACTTAAAACCCCCCAAATTTTAGACATTTTCTGAAAGCAAACACCCTGGTGAATAAAACAGCAGTAGAAATTTTAGTAAAAAATATCAGTAAAAAATAAAATAAAGTTAATTTTAGGGCACACAAATGCAACATATCAGCAACTTTTTATAAAGTATAAAAGATGAAGTTGTGCCGAGTAAATAGATACCCAACATGTCAAGCCTTAAAATGATGTACGACTGTGAAATAGCGACAAACTTTGGTAATCTAAATTTTAAATAGGTAATGCTTTAAGAGCCCCTACAGTTTATCCGTTTAGAGTTAACCATGAGTAATGGGCCTAGAATTAATGTTCTCACATTGTGTGCACAGTGATATGTAACATGTGTACCACAACCAATGTTTTTGTTCATAGGCAGCCCTGACATATTTATATTACACAGTGCATGTATGTGGGGGTGGGATGGCTCAACAATTTTTTAGGACAAGTTAAGTGCTTGGATGTAACTTTAATTGTTTACACTTTTCTTTTCATTAAACTTCATTTCTCATAACATAAACAAAAGGGCCTGATGCGACTCTTTTTTTTTTATGTGACTGGTTCTCTTTAATGAGACATCAGGGTCTCACTTGCTCTCTGTTGAAGCTAATAGAGTGCAGATTGCGCTCCATTAGCATCTTCCCTGGCTACAAGGTCTGGAGAGAGTGACAGTTGGAACAACAAAAGGTTGGCTCTGAGGAAGAGGGCTTGAGTCTCGAAATGCGCCAGCCGTTCCTGTGCACTATGAGGTCTTCCCATGCCATTAGTGGAGTATAGTGGATTTGGAGGTGGTTTCATCAGCTTTTCAAGATATGCCTATGCATGACGTGTTTGTGAGTATTCACTTGTTATTTACGGTATTTCTCTAATAAAATTGAGTTAT